TCTTTTTCACTGGAGAGCACTGGATCCACATATGCTCACAATATTTTTCATCTATTTTAGAAAGAATAGATTTGGGTATTTTCGTGTAAGTACTCTAGTGACTTTTTCCTTTGGTCCTGGTTCTTATACTCTTGTTCCTTCAAATCTAGCCCTCTTATAACCTGCGTCTGATGCCTTTGCCTGCTGTTCATTAGAAACTCGGGGATGTGGGAATCTTGATTTCTACAATGCAAAATGAATGGGAGTCTCTTTAAAAGGGGATCAGATCAGACATACCTTTTGTGCTATGGATAGCTAAGATTTGGAAATTTTATGTGGAGCTTGTGTCTGAGAATTAAAAATTCAGACTGAGAATTAATGGTCAAAGGATTCTGTATTCCACTTTATGGAGTTCACCAGAAGAGGTTGATAGAAGCAGGTGCCTCATTACACAGGCAAAGGTAACTAATCTTTAATATTCTAGCCAAGATTGTCAAGAGTGACCAACTTGGCAGACTACATTTATTATTCTGAGTAACACAGAATTGTCAAATCAGTACATTATACACCTGAGAGTAATATAACATTCTATGTCAACTGATTTTCCATTGAAAAAGCAAATAACCAAAAAAAATCAATTTCAAGCAAAGTGGACAATTTGGAAAAGAGACCGTTATATAATCTCTTAGTATCTTCTCAGACCTTCTATTAACAATTGAAAATGGCACATATATAATATCCAAACCAATGTAAAGAATTATTAAAGCCAGCAAGATTGAGAATCATTTTCATGGAACAGTTCATAGTTTTCTTGTTATGTTTTATGACAAAGCATATTTTCTCATTTAATCATCACCACATCCTTGTGATGAAGGCATTACTGTTACCTTATTTTATAGATAAAGAGACTGAGGCCAGGAAGTTTAGGTAAATTGTCCCGAAGTCACATACAGTGACCAAGACAATCCAGGCCATCTGACTTCAGATATCAGCCTCGCTCCATACATTTCAGTCTATATTTTGGTGAGCAAAATGAGATAAAGACCAAAAAACAAAACAAAACAAAACAAAAAAAACTACACATTCACCTTCAGAAGCTTTCCTTTCCCCCTGCCTTCTAGAAGGAAGCGGCTTCCTGGATGGGTGGCTCCTTTTGTTCATGACGTGCAGAAGCCTATCATGAGAAGGGAGTGGAACTGAGTGACGAGCTCCCAGGCAAGGGCAGAGAGGTCCTGGAGGGAAAGGAGGGCATTTGAGAAAGGGAAGCAGGAAGGGGGATGACCGCCAGTGCAGGCTGAGCTTTGAGTGAGCGTGTTGGACAGATGGGGAGTGTGGGACACGACCTGCGTAGCACATCTGTGCTCTGTGAGACTAGGAAGGGCGTGGGGAAAGGCAGTCCAAAGAGTCCCTTGGTGCCCAAGTCCCTTGGTGCCCTTTAAAGAAATTCCAGCCACAGTTTTCATTGCTTTTCCGATTTCTCCGAATGCCAGTTTGGATTCAGTGTCTCTCTACAGCTTTGCGTGTGTTCTATGAGCTGAAAGCCCAGGGTGTTAATCCGGGTGTTCGCTCTCAAGTGCAGGGGAAAAGGGGTCAACAGTGTGGTTGGTCCAAACTCAACAGGGTCAAACAGAACTTTCCTCTCAACTCTTCAGCTCCGTTAGTGGAGGTCGCAGATCAGCTTGAGGCAAAGACCCTCAGATTTGAATTCTAAAGGTCTTTACTTTGGAAGTCCCTACCTTCTTCTTCTTCCTCCTCCTCCCCCACCTCCTTCCCCTCCTCTTCCTCCTCCTTTCTCCTTTCTCCTTCTTTTTTAAAGACATTTCATTCATTTAGAGAGAGTGAGAGAGAGAGAGAGCAAGCATGTGGGGGGAGAGGGGCAGAGGGAGACGGAGAGAGAGAATCTCTAGCAGACTCCATGCTGAGTGCAGAGCCTGGTGTGGGGCTCGATCCCACAATCCCAAGATCATGACCTGAGCCAAAATCAAGAGTCAGATGCTTAACTGACTGAGCCACCCAGGCACCCACCTATTTTTTTCTTAAACCCAAGTAATTCTTCTTGGTGCTGATGTGATCCTTCCATGGTTGCATAATGATCACAAATATCGGTATGTTCACGGGAGGAGAAATAGCAAAGCTCTAAAGGGAGAATTTTGGGGGCAACCCCCCCTCCCAATTTCATGGCTTGTGGTGAGTAAGCATGGTCCTGTGACTCACTTCCACTGGTGTCACAGTCTGGGCAGCAGTGCCGGGCATGGGTCAGGGACTGGGTATGGAAATGTGCTGCCTTAGCTGAATTGCTGAATTGGTCCCAGGAGAGGGTCTAGTGAGGCTCAGCCCAGTCACGGCGGGGAATGGGAAAATCTGAGGCCAAAGGTAGACTCTGGCATATCACTTGTCTGGGGATTTGGGACCTCATTTTGCTGAGAGTTGGGATTTTATCTGCTGGTTTCAAGGCTGTTAGTTCCCGGGTAGGAAGCGGATTACTCACGAATGTCCAGAATGGGCTGCCCGTGTGCTAAGGGAGAGAGCGACAGCTTGGAGTGTGAATGGGACTAGAAACAAATACTTTTCCTTCCTCTCCCTTGAGCTACTTCTTTCTACGACGTGAAGCAACTGTGCTTGCAGAATGATGTACGTCGCTCATTCCAAAGTACTGTTCTGTGCTTGGTTAATACTGTAATTACACATACTTGGAATTTGTAGATACGTCAGTCTCCTTCCCTCTGGTTGCCTATTTACTGGCAACTTCTTTTCCCCTGAGATGACTCTTTTGAAAGGAATCATTCTTATTTGGATGAATAACTTTTGGCATGTGAGTCTTTAAAAAGTCAACCACATTACTTTATGGTCTCACCTGTACTGTTCATTTTTGTATGCGATTGGACTGCTTGGGTTGCAAACAGCAGTTAAAAAGAGATCACAAGTAGGCAGAGAGGCAGGCAGAAAGAGAGAGGAGGAAGCAGGCTCCCCGCTGAGCAGAGAGCCCGATGAGGGGCTGGATCCCAGGACCCTGGGATCTTGACCTGAGCCAAAGGCAGAGACTTTAACCCACTGAGCCACCCAGGCGCCCCATGACTTCTCTTTTTAACTCTCTGTCAAATTAATAAAAAAAAAATCTTAAAAAAAAAAGAGAAGTCACACTAAGGTAAAAGTTGCAATCTCATGCCTCCTGCGACTGCAAAGACCGCAGATCCGTTAGTGAGGCTTGATTGTGACTCCAGCCACCTCTTAGCTCAGCTCTGCCCGCCTCCTGGCTGGCCACAGTGTTGTCTGTGTTGGCAAGATGGCGGCCGGCCGACAGCTGAGGTGGCCCAGTCGCTGGAGTGGCTTCAGCAATTTGGAATTCATCCATCTGAGCCTTGGTTTCCTCATCTGTAAAATGGGCTATTACCTCATCCACAGGGTAGTACGTGACTATTTAACGAGCTCCTGAAGGTGTGTATGCCTCTATGGCTCAGAGCACGGGGTTTGGAGTCACATCTTATTTTTTTTTTTTTAAGATTTTATTTATTTATTTGAGAGACAGAACAGCAGCGAGAGAGCACAAGCAGGGAGAGAAGCAGAGGGAGAGGGAGAAGCAGACTCCCCACTGAGCTGGGAGCCCGATGCAGGACTCAATCCCAGGACCCCAAGATCATGACCTGAGCCAAAGGCAGACACTTAACCAACTGAGCCACACAGGTGCCCCTGGCTCCATCACTTACTAAGTGACTTGTGTACCTATAGTATCTGTATCATAGTGTTGTTGGAATTTAAAGTGAGAGCTTGTACATAAAACCCCTAATAGGGTGCTTGGCACATAGATCCACTCAGGAAATGGTAGCTATTATTTGAGTAGAATTTTGAAAGTGACTACTAATGGTTTGAATGGAAAGGGTAAACTCAGGCAGAGGAAATGGCAGGAAAAAGTCATGAGCAGTGATTCATAAGGGGGGCCGTTTGGATTTGGACAGCAAGGTAAGCTTGGGTAGTGCCCAGGTTCAGGAATGTGGCTCTTGCTGCTTGTATCAGAATCTGATAAAAAGGCTGACGCCAGGAGATGGTCTGGGGAAGAGCCCATCAGCCAACCAGGAGGTCAGCACCTTGGGAGTTTCCATCTAGGATTTTGGAAGGATTCTTTCTTCCAAATTCCAAATTCCAAATCTTCTGAATTACAAAGCCTTGCTTAGTGTTTTATACTTGATCAGTGTTTGCTGCATTGACTGGAATTGCCTCAGGGTCAGAGACAGTCTTGTTAATATTTTCGTGAAAAATATTTTGGTGGAAAATCTTCCTTTTATCTGGTGGATTCTGTAACTCAGAGCCAGATTTAATGAATAAGGTAGAGGGATCAAGCTGAGCAATTGTGATTCTGATTTTTTAAAACCCTAACAACACTGACCTAATGTGATTATTTCCCCCCCTGACTTAAACTGGCTTTTGAAAACAATGGTGTGAGTAGTAAGTTTTAACGCTTTAAAAAATCAGTTTCATAATTTCATATTTTACATATGGAGTACAGAAACCCAACAGATCATAGAGTTCTCCTGCATACTAGGCATGATATTAAGTGCTGAGGTGACAGAAATCAGGAAGTACTTCTCCTTGGGGAATCCATCATCCCATGGGGAGAGACAGCAGAAGATCAGTCATCATAATGTGGTGAGATCAGAGCTGGGGAGCTCGTTCAGGTTCATGTTCTTCGAGCAGTCTTAAGCAGTGGGTATGGTTGAGGTAGGACAGGGGTGTAGGGTCTGGGAAAATTTTAAAGTAGGGGTAATGCTTGAGCAGGATGTTGAAAGATGCACATGAACCTACAGGAACAAAGAGGGTGTAGAGGTATGTGTGTGGTGTGTGTGTGTGTGTGTGTGTGTGTGTGTGTATTTCTGATAGAAATGCATGTGGGAAGACTTGGAGGCCGTGGTGTCAGCAGAATGTTCTGAGCAACGTGTAAGATCAAACAGATGAAATCCTTAAGGGCATTGCATTTCTGAGGTCTAACTAGGGTTAGCCCTTGAAGAATCCTTCTAAGAGAACTTCCGGAAGATCCTGTGGGTCTATGATGGCGTCACCCGGAGCGTGAGTTGTTCCACGAGGATATTGAAGACAATGGCTAAGAACAAACTAAGAGGGCAGGAGTCCAGGAATGTATTTCATATAGCCAGCCAAAAAAACTTTAAGTCTAAAAACAAAGCAAAACCAGTTACCACTAACCTTAAGAAGATAAACATTGTGAATAATGAAAAAGTTACCAGAGTGAATAAAGCTTTTGTAGATATACAAAAGGAACTTGCACATTTTTCAAAAGGCCTTTCCCTTGAACCTTTGCAGAAACAGCTGATTCCTCAGCAGGTCATGAAAACGAACCAGTTAATGTTGATGAAGCGACAAGATTAAGGCTCAGTTGTAATACACTGGAGATACATCAAATACCCCAAAAAGACCAATAAATTAAATGTTTTATACAAAAAAAAAAAAAAAGAATCCTTCTAAGATGGCCAGGCTTCCGAGTCAGCAAATGAAAGAGAGCTGTGAGGCAGAGGCGGGTCCTGCCTGACGATCATGGTCAGCAGTGATCTGACTCAATCTGTAAATTGAGAAATTTACAGATGAGACAACTGACACTTAGTGGGTTCAAGTCATGTGCCTAAAATCTCGTGGCTGGGAAAAAGTGGAAGTGGGATTCGAGTTGGAATCTGCCTCACTCTGAAGACCATCCTTTCCTGTGAATGTAATTTCACAGAAAGAATGTAATTTCACAGGCTCAAGACGTCACCTAGCTCTGGGCCCACCATTCTGAACACGAGGTTGTCCAGTGCAGTTGGTAGCTGGAGATGGAGTGGCAGGTGGCGTGGCCCAGCATGTGGACCGACCACTGGCAGAGACTACACCCGTAGTCCTCAGACTTCAGACTGCCCAAGAGTGCTCTGGGGATGTTCCCCAACAGCTCCAGTTCTGAAGTCCCACTTCAAAGCATCTGTCCTGTGACAAGGCACCTCGGGGGACTCTGATGCAAATTGTACATGTTCCACACTTTGATGACCACAACCGTGCATGAATGTCTTATGTGAAGCTGGGTTTCTCTCTCCCTCCCTTCTTTCTGTTCTTCCCTTCTCTCCCTCTCTCTCCTTCTCTCTTCCACTTGCTACCCCTTCCTTCCTCACTCCCTCCTTCTCCCCTCCCCTCCTCCTCTCTCTTTCTCCCCCTCCCTCGCTTTCTCTCTCCCTCATTTCCTTGCTTGCTTCCTTTTTTCCCTTTCTTCTGAGGCTTCTGTTAATTGGGATCCAGTGATGTGAGGCCATCACTCATATGTGTTACTCACCCTCTCTGTGCATATCCCTGTCTCTCCAACCATCATTTGTTCCTTGCAAGGCAGGCAGGGATCCTGCATTCTGCGTGCCTTTCACAGGCACTTAGACGGGTGCACTCCCAGGTTAAAACCGACACCAGGGGGCGCCTGGGTGGCTCAGTGGGTTAAGCCTCTGCCTTCGGCTTGGGTCATGATGTCAGGGTCCTGGAATCGAGCCCCACATCGGGCTCTCTGCTCAGCAGGGAGCCTGCTTCCTCCTCTCTCTCTGCCTGCCTCTCTGCCTACTTGTGATCTCTCTCTGTCAAATACATAAATAAAATATTAAAAAAAAACCTACACCAGGCGCCTGGTAACAGTGGGTTACTTTAGAGCTAGGCCTTTTGAAACACATAGTTCAGCCAAGGAAGGTGCCCTCAGTGCTCAGCTGTCCGTGTGCTCTCTGTGATCTGCCTGTGTACGTTCCCGCTCATCACACAGTCCTAAGGGGCCATGATGGGGAGAAGACAGACTCAGTTTAGTGAATCGTCTCCCTTCCCAGCTCTCAGCATTTCCCACAGCCTCTGGCCAAACCCCACTCCTTGGGAATCTGCAGACCTGTGCTTCCCTAGTCATGCTTGCCGCCTCCAGTGTCTTGCATTTTGAAAAAAGGAAAGCCCATTCGAGTTGGCTTTGAGCCTGAGTTTCAGCTCTCTGTTGCAGCTGGCTTACGATCCGGGGTACCCCCCCTTTCTGGTCATGGCATGTCAGAGCCACATGGATGGTCTGAACTTGTTCCATGTGGGCAGTTTTCTCCCCTGGGCCCTGGTGACAAGAGCCCAGCATTCCGGGCATAGCAGATTCCTCGCCTGGTATCCCACAAGTGATGGATTCCTTTCTGACTCTCTGATTTGGCCTGGGTGCCTGGATCCTGGAGTCAGGGTTATGTGGGTTCAAACCTTGCTTGTGGACTGGGAGTGCAGACACATTTTAAAACCTCTTCACGTCCACATATCTTCATTTGTAAAATGAGGGCCGTAAGGTGGTTGTGAGGTTTAAATCAAACGATGCTTGGGAGTGCCCGCTTTATGGGAAGCACTATGGCAATGATTGTTATTGGTGGTGATTTTTTATTGTCCCTTCATTTCCCCAATTAAAATTCTATCAATCTTGCAAGGCCCAGCTGGAACTCTGCCTCATCCACAAAGCTTTTTGTCCACTCAAGTCAGCAGGGGACTCTGTCCTAAATTCTCGTGATCACTCAAGTCTAAGATTAATGCTCGATTGCCTTAAATATTTAATACTGTGTTACTGTTGTTCTAGGACCTGATTGGTTTCATTCTTGGTCCCTGGTATAGAGGGAAGTTCTATACGAATACTGGTAATAAAGATTATCTTTTTCTTTTAGCCTCTCCACTATCAATGGTTATTCGCGGGAGCTCTTCTTCTGGGTGTCATGATTAGGAAGTACAGATCAATTCACTTAACATGAGCTCATTTGGGTTAAACTGAGATAAACTGGCAGCATCTACACAGCAAACGACAACATCCTGGGACCCATCATCAGCTGGCTTTGTGCAGCAGCTGCTCTTACTAGATACGGAGAAGGCCCTCGTTCAGGAAACAGTGCATTCAGGGTCTGGTGTTACTGGTGAGAGACCTTGTTTTGACACCATCTCCTTCTGAAACTGGTGATTCTCAGCCTTGGATGCACAGTAGAATCACTGCAGAACTTAAAATAATACTGATGGGGGCGCCTGGCTGGCTCAGTGGGTTAAGCCTCTGCCTTCGGCTCAGGTCATGATCCCAGGGTCCTGGGATCGAGCCCCGCATCGGGCTCTCTGCTCAGTGGGGAGCCTGCTTCCCCCCACCTCTCTACCTGCCTCTCTGCCTGCTTGTGGTCTCTGTCTGTCAAATAAATAAATAAAATCTTAAAAAAAAATACTGATGCTCAGGCCACATTCTGGGCCAGTTAAATCCAAGTGTGTGTGTGTGGCTGGGGTGGGAGGGGAGGGACTGGGTGGTGATCGGACCCAGGTATAGTATTCTTGGCTTTGCGATGCTGCCCGGGCTGAGAAGGACAGAATTGCTCTAAAATCAGGTCCCCAGCTCCTCCACCAGGTGCACAGGCTTCAGTTTTAATTATGTGCATTCGCCTCTTTTTCAGGGATATTGGCTACAATTAGCTTGTAGGAATTAGCTTTCAGGAGATCGTGGATGTCTTCAGGGTCGAAACCACAGCATGAAAGAGAGAGCATGTATTATCTGAGAATGCCTTGCAACCAGGCTGCTCACGGACGCTTAGTGTGCCTAGGAATAGAATTTTCCTTGCCCTAGGTCACCGGTGCCACAGCACAGAACTGACAGGGCTCCCCAAGGACCTGAAGTATTTATAACTCTTACAGTATTTCCGCAAGGTGAGCTTTGCTGCCAGAGGCCCGAATCGGGCCTGTTAGGAGTCACTAAGGTGGAGGAGTTGGACACAGCTGCCGCAGGCTCCTGGGGAAAGGGCTCCTGGCACTGAGAGAGAGGGGCTCAGGTGTCCTTGCTGGAGAACAGAAAGCAGAGAAGGCGGGGCTAGCAGACCACCCAGGCTTCCTCCCCAACCTTGTCTGACATTTTTTGCACAGGGACTAAGTCCTCTGAAAAATAGATTTTTTGAGGTTTATTCTCCATAAACTTTATCTATTTTAAGTCTACAGGCCAATGAGTCTTAGTAAATTTCCAAGGCTGGGCAAGCATTACCACGATCCAGTGTTAGAGTATGTCCATCACCCCAGAAAGATCCTGTGTGCTTGTTTTCAGTCAGTTCCTGTTCCAGCTCCCATCCCGGCAACCACAAAGCTGGGTCCTACCTCTGCAGTTTTGCCTTTTCTGGACATTTGCTATGAATGGAGCCATATAGTGTGTGCCCTTCTGTGTCTGGCTTTTTTTCACGTAGCGTAACATTTCTGAGGGTCATCCAACTTGTAGCCCGCATGGGTATTTTCTTCCTTTTTACTGCTAAAAGATGTTACGTTGTATGGATATGCTTCATTTCATTTATCCACACGTCAGTCTGGATCGCTTCTACTTCTGGGCTATTACCGAGTGCTTAGGCACTCATGCTCCAGCTTTTGTGTGGACATATGTTGTCATTGCTCTTGAGGAAAAGAGCTTGGAGTGGACTTCTTGGGTTGTATGGTAAATTTATGTTTAGCTTTTTAAGAAACTGACAAATTGTTGCCCGAAGTGGCTGCACCATTGTACATTTCCATCAGAAATTTATGAAGGTTCTAGTTTCCCCACATCCTCACCAATGTTTGTTATTATCTGTCATTTTGACTCTGGAGGAGGCTGTGATGTGGTTTTCATTGAGGTCTACTTCATCAATTATTTTCTTTTTAGAATCATGCTTTTCGTTTCTTATCTAAGAAATCTTTGCCTATTCAAGGTTACAAAGATTTTCCTCTAGATTTTAGGATATTTTAGATTTTCTGCTAATTCTCTTATAGTTTGAGCTCTTACATCTAGGCTTTAATTAATTTTGAGTTAATTTTTAGGTATGGTGTGAGTAGAGATATAAATTAATTTTTTTTTTTGCATGTGGATATCCAGTTGTTCCAGCACCATATTTTAAAAAGATTATCCATTTCCCTTGTGCCTTGGTGCCTTTGTTGAAAATCAATTGACCATAATTATAAGGGATTATTTCTGGACTCTCAATTTTATTGCATTGATGTATATGTTTATCTTTATGGTCAGTACCACACTGTCTTGATTACTGTAGCTTTATGGGAAGTTTTGCAATTAGGAAGCACAATCCTCCAACTGTGTTCCAAATTGTTTTGGCTGCTATAGGTTCTTTGCATGTCTATGCATATATTGGGATCAGCTTGTCAATGTCTGCAAAAAGCCTGCTGGGATTTTTTTGTGTTGTTGAACTTATTGATTGATTTGGATGCCAATGACCACCTCAATAATATTGAAATTTCCAATTCATGAATACAGAATGTTTCTCCACTTATTTAGATCTCCTTTAATTTCTCTTGGCAATGATATGTAGTTTTGGTGTATAAGCCTTTCAGTCAATACTTTTTTTGAGAGTTTGGGTGGTCCTGATAGGAAAATATGTTTTTGTGTGTGTGTGTTTATTGTTGTTGTTTTTTGTTATCCTCAGAGGTC